CGAGTAGAAGATATCAAGCTAATTTCAAAAAAGACAAAAGACACTGCACCAGGACCTGATGGGGTCAGGTATGGCCACATAAGGGCTTGAGAGATGTGGACCTGACAGAGATGGCTGTTTCAACCAGAGCATTAAGACAACAGCACCACCACAGGACTGAGTGCATAGCTATCTAATCCCACTAACAAAACCTTTAAAGTACCATTAGAAGAATTGGTCAACAGTGTGTACAAATACTTTACCGCAGTTAAAAGGCGCAGTGACCCACTGAACTTCTTATGATACAAGAGCACCGCTATAGAGAAAAGACTGCATGCAAAAACAAAAACATAAAAAAGGAGGGGGGAGGGGGAGAAGACCTTTTACAATGTGTGATAGTTTGAATAAGACACACACAGACCAAGACTGACTCATGTTTCCAGAAAAAATGATAGAAAACAAAAAGTGCGCATAATTTAATATGGTTATGCATAATTCCATATGATGCTGTATTCTCCTTTCTCTTCAATATGTGTAACAAAATATTTTTGCTTTCGTTGGAAATGTGGTATTTGTACAAATATCAATGTGTCAATGTCACTTGTGATGCCGTAGGACAGTGAAGGTTTATCACACAATGAGTGACACTGATGTATGATGTTGGAAAAGACGAGACATGTCTCGCTTTATCACCAAAAACAGGTTAAGATGAAGTGAATCGAATCATTTTCTTTTATCTGGCTCAGAGCCAGAATGACAGAAAAGGGATCAGCTGGTCTCATAGAAGTGGCACTACCATATTCGGACAAGATTTCTAATGTTGCCTTTTTCCAACAAGTGGAAGCAGTTCATACGCAGCATGACCCTTGACATTCATTCGTATCTGTCCGGCTATATATAGTGACAATGGGGGCAGTTCGGCTGGTTATCTCTGCTCAGTCTACATCAGTAGAAGTTGTAATGTCGATCTGATAGAAAATGCAATGCAAGATACTACACATAGAGAAGCTGTCAAGGAAAATAAAGCAGTGGAGACTTCCGGTCTAAAATGGAAGATTAGGCACGGCAGAATGTTTTAACTTCGAAGTTATTTTTGCTTGACAGCGCTTTGCTAATGCAGTTTCTACATATGGACGGTAGTTTATGATTTAGCTGCCTGAGTTTAGTGCAGCCATGTGAGCTGCGTTTTTCATGTGGAATACCATTTATTTGTGCAGTGATTATGTTGTGTTATCCAATACGGCCGGTAGGCGGTTTACGTGTGAGATGGTAAAATACCTTATGTAATAATTCTACATGTGTATAGCCAACTTATCGGGCCAGACTACTTCCATCAACAACAGACTGCATTTCTGGTGGGGACTGTTGGCTTTGGCATCTCTAGAAACTGCCATATGTATTTACTGCATTGCACATATTTCTGGATTGTGCTGGGACTAGTTGTTTGTTCACCAGTTTTTCAAATGGGACAGTGAGGGACATTTCATTCGATTTGCACTGGCACACGAATGGAGCAGTGTGGGGAAACCCGATTGCAGTGAGGTTGAAACCTTGACTAAGACTTTACTCTCTAATGCAAGTTGTTCAAAAAGCATAACATTAGTACAATAGGCCTCATTCTGTACATTGAGCACCTCTATAGGCCAGTGGTCAGCTCAATAGGTTCTACTGTATGTGTGTCACATTTAAAGTCACACTTGCTACACATCAATGTAGTGCCAGAATCAAGTACCTGCTACATGATAAGGTCAACTCAGACATTTCTGCAGCCCACAACTTGAAGAACACTGGTCCAGCTGTCTGCTGTGATTAAAAAAGGTGTGATTATTCCTCCCCTTTCCCACCACTTGAAGAACACTGGTCCAGCTGTCTGCTGTGATAGAAAAGTGTGATCATTCCTCCCCTTTCCCCACCACTTGAAAGCTCCCATTTGGTGAGTGACTACTTTTGTACCAGACAACACACACAAAAAACATCACAACAGCTGAGTTTAGTGGTATTAAATTTACTTTGAACTGATTAATGCAAATTCTGTACACATAGTCAGGATTTTTGACATAAAAAAAAAAAAAAAGTAAATAAATTAGATTCTAATCCACACAGACATGTCTATTTATCTCAATAGATTATAGAACTCTACAAGTACCAAATAAAAAAAAAGGAAGGACTCATTTTCATGCCTACAGGTATATTGGGCTCATAGAGCTGAAGCCTATATTTTGTAGACTATTGGCATTTTGTGGGTGATGTGGTCAACATCACAACGGCTGCCTTTACTTCCCAGGACCTATCCTGGTATCCAATCTGGCAGACAAGGTCGTTTAAGAAAAGAAAAGTAAGGCTCCGCGAGGACCTGAACCCACGACCTTCAGATATGCAGGTGAGCTTCTAGCCACTACACAAGGGCGGCTTCCCTATGAGTGCATAAACATGCCTGTTCATCTGCATTCAAGATTTCTCACATCGGTCAGCAAACATAAAACAGTTATCCAACTGAATTTAGCTGATTCAGGGAACAGATGGCAAGTAAGTAAATTAGCCACTATCTTTATTACGCAACCATCTTTGAGACATTTCATCTTTAGCAGTTCACATCTGCTAACTACAAATGTCCTCAAACAAACATTTCAATTGTCAGCCATACGGAGAAAGCAGGATGAACAAGTTAAACATTTTGTTTTCCCAACTCTTAAAAATTATGGCACTGAACACTTCCATGAAAATAATGGCTGCAGAATTAGTTTACGCTCTCTTTCCGAGAACTCCATAGATACTGAACTTCACAAATGAAAGTTGAATTAGGAATCGACCTCACAGCACTCGGGACTCTCCCATAAGTGGTACCAGTAACTGTCTGATTGTATATCTGCCTCATCCTTTCCCAGAGTGTTCAGAGTCGGCCAGATCCCCTGGTAACTCCTCGCGACGACATTCCCCTCAGACCGCATTGATCTATCTGCACCTGCACACTGTTCACTCGCTCCCAAAGGGCCCTCAAAACATGTAACTTGTCATACATCAATTCATCACCAAGTGGTGCAGATCTGGCCAGTCTGTTTGCCTCCTCATTTCCCAAGACACCGGCATGACCTGGAGAAAATATCCAAAGGATGCTAACCACCTGGGACCTCTGAAGTGATGCTTGCCACTCTGCATGAAGCATGCCTGTCTTCACCTTTCTCAACATGCTCTGTGAGTCAGTCAGAATCACTGCATGTGTGTACAGCTGATACAATGTGTGAACTCCACATATATGTCATCTGTCAAAGTGTTCTACTACCACTCTCTCTACAACACAGGGATTCAGTCAAAGCAACACAATTCAAGAAGAAAATTGGTGACATTAGAGATCTACTAAAACGCAACATTAATGTTAACAACATGATCAGCTAGAATGGAACATTGGTGACATTAGAGATCTACTAAAACACTACATTAATGTTAACAACATGATCAGCTAGAATGGAACATTGGTGACATTAGAGATCTACTAAAACGCTACATTAATGTTAACAACATGATCAGCTAGAATGGAACATTGGTGACATTAGAGATCTACTAAAACACTACATTAATGTTAACAACATGATCAGCTAGAATGGAACATTGGTGACATTAGAGATCTACTAAAACACTACATTAATGTTAACAACATGATCAGCTAGAATGGAACATTGGTGACATTAGAGATCTACTAAAACACTACATTAATGTTAACAACATGATCAGCTAGAATGGAACATTGGTGACATTAGAGATCTACTAAAACGCTACATTAATGTTAACAACATGATCAGCTAGAATGGAACACTGGTGACATTAGAGATCTACTAAAACACTACATTAATGTTAACAACATGATCAGCTAGAATGGAACATTGGTGACATTAGAGATCTACTAAAACACTACATTAATGTTAACAACATGATCAGCTAGAATGGAACACTGGTGACATTAGAGATCTACTAAAACGCTACATTAATGTTAACAACATGATCAGCTAGAATGGAACATTGGTGACATTAGAGATCTACTAAAACACTACATTAATGTTAACAACATGATCAGCTAGAATGGAACACTGGTGACATTAGAGATCTACTAAAACGCTACATTAATGTTAACAACATGATCAGCTAGAATGGAACATTGGTGACATTAGAGATCTACTAAAACACTACATTAATGTTAACAACATGATCAGCTAGAATGGAACACTGGTGACATTAGAGATCTACTAAAACGCTACATTAATGTTAACAACATGATCAGCTAGAATGGAACACTGGTGACATTAGAGATCTACTAAAACGCTACATTAATGTTAACAACATGATCAGCTAGAATGGAACATTGGTGACATTAGAGATCTACTAAAACACTACATTAATGTTAACAACATGATCAGCTAGAATGGAACACTGGTGACATTAGAGATCTACTAAAACGCTACATTAATGTTAACAACATGATCAGCTAGAATGGAACATTGGTGACATTAGAGATCTACTAAAACGCTACATTAATGTTAACAACATGATCAGCTAGAATGGAACATTGGTGACATTAGAGATCTACTAAAACACTACATTAATGTTAACAACATGATCAGCTAGAATGGAACACTGGTGACATTAGAGATCTACTAAAACGCTACATTAATGTTAACAACATGATCAGCTAGAATGGAACATTGGTGACATTAGAGATCTACTAAAACACTACATTAATGTTAACAACATGATCAGCTAGAATGGAACACTGGTGACATTAGAGATCTACTAAAACGCTACATTAATGTTAACAACATGATCAGCTAGAATGGAACACTGGTGACATTAGAGATCTACTAAAACGCTACATTAATGTTAACAACATGATCAGCTAGAATGGAACACTGGTGACATTAGAGATCTACTAAAACACTACATTAATGTTAACAACATGATCAGCTAGAATGGAACACTGGTGACATTAGAGATCTACTAAAACACTACATTAATGTTAACAACATGATCAGCTAGAATGGAACATTGGTGACACCAGTATTGAGAACATATTCAATCAATGGCTGAAGTCTGTAGGATCCAAGGCTGTCTAAGACCCACTCTCTCATCACTGTCAGCAATCCCATGTGCTTATACAATCCTGTTGATAAGAGCACAGCAAAAAACACAAAATAGAATGTGAAACAATGGTACAGTATATCTAGCAACAGACAGCTAACACCTGTACAACATATAACCCTTGCCCCCAAGAAGTACCACAACCACACTTCCAAAATGTACCATGCCTGTAAATACCGATTAACCAGAGCGGTTGTAGTAATTTATTTATAAATATCTTCACTAACAGCTCTGATTCCGTTTGCACATGTGCAAATCTTAATAGGTAGGCCAGTGGCTATAGTTGCTAAAAATAACCCTTCTGGATGTTTTCTTGTGACAAACTGTTTTATTTATAGAAATTCCCCATCAGATTGACTGTTAGCCACAGCGGCCTCCAGCGGCCAGGTCACAGCGTCAAAAATGAGCCATCTTACTAAATTTGTTTCACCTCAGGAAGCTGTAACTCAGTTGATTCTTTGCTGCGTTATTTTTACCGATTACCCTATTTCATTAGAACAAAGCCAATGACCTATTGTTCACAATCCCCCCCCCCCCCCCCCCCCCCCCCCCCCCCCCCCCACCCCCCCGCCCCCGACCCCCCCCCCCCCATAAATAAATGGTTAAAAAAACTACATGGCAACAGACATGATTTTAGCACAGTACAGCTGTCTCGTGTGTTCATTCCACAGACTCAAACCTGTCCAAGCTATAATGCTATCTGCCAAGTTTCTAGTCCCTCGGCCATCATGTATATTTTTAATCTTCTGTATATAATTTTCTATTCATCTTACCAGCTATTACAATACAAAATATTTCTCATTTTATGATATTCTAAAGAATACAGACTTTTTACTCTAACATCTGCTTTTTTACTCTAACATCTGTTGTCAACTTATTTTTTGGGACCATGTTTGCTTTTAAAAATCTTACCATTAAACATGTCGAGTTCGGCACTGGTGGGTACAATACTGGAATCAGAACATCGGACAATAATCTTGAACTTGGCCACCTTAGACAGGAGGCCTATAGGATCATCGACAACGGTGGCTCCACACACAGTCAGCAGCTCATGCAAGCTTTCTGTTTCACGAGAAGATGTCACACTGCATTATACTATCATTAAACCTAGCATAAATCATGAAAACATCACATTTTTATGTTACATTTGCCTAATCTCTTCTGAAAGATACGGCTAGCAGATCTACTCCATTTAACAAGCCATCGCAGCAGATTCAAATATTGATGGAGGCGGATTTGATTTTCTGTCTTTACAGGCTTCCAAGTCTTAGTCGAGGTTTCAACTTTACAGAATTCTGGTTTCCCCATACTTGCTCTTTTTCTGTGCCAGTGCAATTCACATGAAATGTCTCTCTCTGTCCCATTTGAAAAACTGATGAACAAACAGTTACTCGTGGTATAATCCAGAAATATGTGCATGCAGTAAATGCATATGGCAGTTGCTAGAGGCACCAAAGCCAATAGTCGTCACCAGAAATGCAGTTTGTCGCTGATGGAAGTAATCGGGCACAATATGTAGGCTTAAGGTATTTCACCAGCTCACACATACACTGGCCACATTGAATACCATGACACAGCTGCTGCACAAATGAAAGGCATTCCATATGAAAAACAGCTCACAGAGTTACACCAAGCACTAAACTCAGTAGCCTAGGCAGCGAAACGGCAGACTACCGTCCCTATGTTGAATCTGCATTAGCAAAGCACTGTCAAAAATATCTCTGAAGCTAAACATTCTGCTAGGCTTAATCCTCCATTTGAGACTGGAAGTCTACACAGGCGTCCAAGTCATTCCCCTCAAGTCTTTAGCTACAAGTCAGCCAGGTGTTTCCCTGCTAATAATTATAGTAATCGGTTATCATGTGGAGAGTGACACAAATGTCAGCTGATAACAAAGAGATTCTATCTTTTCATTTGTTCTGTGAGCCAAGGGATAACCACATCTAGCACTGTTGTCCACATCCTCCCTTCAATCCTTAAAGTGAGCACGCCGCCGACCCAAACACAGTATGACTCACAGCAGCACTCTATTGCTTAATTAATCAGTCAAATCATTTCTACAGCACTTTTATTGGCTGGAACACAGTATTATTATGATATACCAGCTATAAACTCTGGCTATTTGTTTACTTCTGGACTCTGGTCTTGTTTCAAAACTTAAGTTATGCAGGCACATCTATTTTACAGATCTGACTTATTTATATGCAAACTGTTGGTTCCTTGACTATCTTGCAGATGCACTACGGCTTGAGGGATACACCCTTAAATAGTTGAATTTTTCAACATGCTTGTTAGAAGTGCATTTAGTCTAAACCCCCCCCCCCCTCCCCCCAATTATTAATGAGGGAGAACACAATGTTCAGCAGTCACTTTCTGCTTCTCCTTGACACTGAAGACAAATTAAGAAATCGTCGGTGTCACAAGTTCATAATCTCAGATCACTGACTGAAACCTGGTCACATGCTACAGGATGCACATTACTACGTAGTTACAGTGTCTGCTGCGAGATGCAACATTAGGTACTCCTTTGAAACAAATCATATCAAAACTTTCAAGCTGCAACTTTTATGGTGGTTATTTCCAAATTAGACATCTGAATGGTAATATATCAATTAACAGACAAAACAGGTTTTTTTTCCAGACTCTGAAAACTCATAAATTAGGAAAAAAAAGTGTCTCTATCAAAAAGCAGGTTTTATAGAGAACCTTGCTGCCACAACTGCCCACATAGTCCCTTGTCTATGTCTTTGCCTTGCCTGTAAATTAGTTACTTATCTGTACCGGATGTTGCAGAAGCTCCGTTTTTTCCCCAGCTGTTTGTGATTTTACTAGGCAAATTTACAGAAACAGTAGTTTGTCATTGCTTTCTAAACAGTTGTCACTCTACTTCATAACTTTAGCGAATAGGTGTTTTGCGATGACCTTTGGCGACCCACGTGAAAGGGTTGCGACCCACAGGTTGAGAACTGCTGATCTATACTGATGGCTCTGAACTGAGAGGCTGAAGAAGTGCATGTGGGTTCACAGCAAAATCTAATGGACGACCCTTGGTGCAACAAAGCCTGACACATGATAACACAACATCTAGTTTGGGAAGGGAGGTAGAGGTGGTCACTGCATCCTTCCCTTGGCTTCAGAATCAGCTGCACACACATGCTGTGATTGTAACTGACTCACGAAGCATGCAGAGAAAGGTGTGCTTTGTGCAGAGTGACACACAGTGCTTCAGAAGTCCAGGGTAGTTAGCCTCATCCTTGGGATATTTTCTCCACAGCAAGCAGCTGTGTTAGGAAACAGAATTTGTGAATGACCATCTGGACGTTGTCAAGGCTCTCTGGGAGGCAGTGAACAGTGCGGAGGCACTCTTAGATTATCACTGTCTTAAAAGAATGGTGTAACGGGCAGTGTCTAGGGGATCTGGCTGACACTTTACACTAGGAGGAAAGGCAAGTGGAACTTACAATGAGACTGTTATTGGTACCATCGAAGTTGGAACTCTTCGCTGGCTGCTGAAAATGGAGACAGAGCGCTTCTGGGAATGTCCTGAGTGCTGTGGTGTCAATTCTCAAAACTCAACTCAACTCCGTATGTTGACACAGGAAAGAGGCCTGCCCTCAAAATGTTTACTTAATTTGTTTCTGGTGTTCTGCTGAGGGCTTTCTTCTTCTTCTTCACTTCTTCTTTTACTGCCTCAGGTGTCGAGTTAGATATAAGGTTTTGCTTCTTGCTTCTCTGGCCGTTTCGACAACAGACACACTGTGCTGCTGTAGAGTTTCTGTGATGTTATCTTTCCACATTGTTCTTGGTATGCCTCAAGCTTTGCGCCCTTCTCCTTTTTTCATGTATGCCTTATATGGTTATGGCGGTACAGGGCAAGCGCTCTCTTTCAAAACCATCACAATTGACATCGCATTGTTCTATTTCTTCAACTGTGTCTGTCACAGTCCCATTATAGTTTATCTAGTGGGCAAACCATTTGATTTGCTGACTTTGTATGTAATTTATAATTGATTCTGTGCCAATTTGCTCTCTTATGATCTTACTCCCAACTTTATCTCTTCTGGTCACTCCTGCAGCCATGGGCTTTCACAACTGCGTAACCTCTTCATAACAATAGTCAGTCTGCTTGGGACTTCTGCCATGTTAATTCTGGAGCCAAGGAATTCAAAGCTTGTGACATTTTCAAGTACTTCATCTCTGATTCTCATAAGCAGTATAATAAAGAGAGGAAGTCATCTCACCTTTGGGCATCTCTCTGCTGTCTCCAACACATGCTAGACAAAAGTCTGTGAACAAGTGCTCCCTGGAAAGCCTGGAATGTTTGGCACCAAATGTGTTTTCCCCACCAGATGTGTCTCCCACAATTTCATAGTTTTCCTGTTTAGATTAACATATGTTTGATAATTATGAGTTTCAGATGGATCTGTCTCAAACATTAACAGGCCTGTATGTGGTATAGCCCACAGTCTGGAGCATCTTAGTTTAAAAAAAAAAAAAAAAAAAACAAGGAAGAAATAAAAAGAAACATTCTACATAAAAACCTTTCCATCATATCCAAGCACAAGATTTTCTGTTGTCTTCTGGCTTTGAACACCGTAAGCAAGATCAGCAATTATTTTTACTGGACGTTGTCTTTGAGCTTAAATATTTTGTGGAATCAACAATTTAGTTTAGGTAACAGGTTTTTCGATAACACTGTTCACAATAGTTGAACAGATAGAAGAAAACCTCAAGTCAACAACAAGATCAATGGCTATATCAGAAAACACCCACAGCATAATTTTTTCAGTTTCAGACAGTGAAAGCTTGAATTAACAGCCATTTAAACTGCATTCTTAACAAAACATGCAGCCTTATGAAACTATCATCTACATTCTCGTTTAATGTTCTAGCCCTTTCAAATGTCATAGAAAAGCTACTACTACATGTAATTCCAACAATTAAAAAACCACTTTATGGGTTCATGAAACAGCAACAGGGCACCTGAACTTTTATAATAATGACATTGTCCTTTCTGAGTGCAGACATTTCACAAACTTTGGGATCAACATCAGCTAAATTCACGACATGCACCATTATATTTAACTAAATGCTAGATAGCATCTGTGGCTTAAGGGTTGTGAACATAATCCAGAATACCAGAGTTTGAAGCCAATGACAGGCAATTCAGCAGCAGCACTGCTTTGCACTGACAACAGTAGGAGCATTGCACCGTTCTGAAAGCAATGACAAACTACTGAACATAAAACTGACTAGCAAAACCACATAACAACCAACAAATGCTGGCGTGGGTTTCCAACATTCTGAAGAGGACATGTAACAAACTGTTAACAATTAAATGAAAACGTACAGTAACAAACATGGAATATTACCTCTGGCAATAAGGAGCCAGTCTGCAGGGAATCCAGCACCCAAGGAAAGGCTACAACCCAACACTTGTAGGCCACGCCTTGAAAAAATTTCAGGGTTCTATCACAGACACGATCATACCCTGTTGCTGCACACAAATATAGCAATAATTAACAAACACAGTGAATAAATTAAAGGCAACAGAAATGTGGTCTTTCAAAACAAGAGTAAGTTGAGTAACGAATCAGTAACACAGCATTCAGGACAGCCCCATCTTAGCAGCCAGCACAGAGTTCCAATTCCAATAGTACCAGTAGCAGTCTGATTATGCGTCCTTCTCTCCTTTCTTGTGTCTGCCAGATCCCCTGGTAACTGCACTGTTCTCTAAAGGATACTGAGAGCTTGGTGGACATTAAAGAACACACCAACAATGAGCTACTGAGATCTGACAATTTTACAGGCCACTCATTAAAACCACCCTCCTCCCTTCCACTCACACACATATACAAAAAAAAAAAAAAAGGTAAAATTTATGGGACAACAGTGGAAATGATATTAGTCCTGTGAGGAGCAAAATTTATGGGACAACAGTGGAAATGATACTAGTCCTGTGTGAAGAGCATAAGGCAAGACAGGCATAAGAAGACATAAAGGACAGGTGAGGACAGCGTAACAGTTGGCTACATATATTAACAATGAAATAAAATTTAAAAAAAGCAACTATAATGTCATGTACAGATAGATCCAATAATACTTATAGCCAATTAGCAATCTCTATTAAACATGGAAACACACAAACTAATGTAATACACCCCCATTAAAGCCTATTAACTAATTAAATACACTCTATTAAAGCCCGTTAACTAAAGACAAACATTCCATCAAAGCCCATTACCTAATGAAACAAGCATTTAACTAAAAAAAAAATATGCACCATCAAAGCCTATTAACTAATGACACATACTAGCACATTAACTAAAGAAATATGCTCCATCAAAGCCTATTAACTTATGACACATACTAGAACATTAACTAAAGAAATATGCTCCATCAAAGCCTATTAACTTATGACACATACTAGAACATTAACTAAAGAAATATGCACCATCAAAGCCTATTAACTAATGACACATACTAGCACATTAACTAAAGAAATATGCTCCATCAAAGCCTATTAACTTATGACACATACTAGAACATTAACTAAAGAAATATGCTCCATCAAAGACTATTAACTAATGACACATACTAGAACATTAACTAAAGAAATATGCTCCATCAAAGCCTATTAACTAATGACACATACTAGAACATTAACTAAAGAAATATGCTCCATCAAAGCCTATTAACTTATGACACATACTAGAACATTAACTAAAGAAATATGCTCCATCAAAGCCTATTAACTTATGACACATACTAGAACATTAACTAAAGAAATATGCTCCATCAAAGACTATTAACTTATGACACATACTAGCACATTAACTAAAGAAATACGCTCCATCAAAGCCTATTAACTAATGACACATACTAGCACATTAACTAAAGAAATATGCTCCATCAAAGCCTATTAACTAAAGAAATACAATCCAAGCCCATTAACTTATAAAATAAAACTATTAAAGCCTATCAACTGAAGACATACTATATTAACTAAAGAAAAACACAAACAAGCCCAGTAATTAAAGAAAGATGCATCACTAAAACCTACTAACTAAAGAAATACACTCCAATGATGATGAAATAAATACCTGGTTTCATGACAACATGTGTGACCTCTGTGGAAAACTGGGAAGCAAACTTGAGGCCATACCTCTCAACCAGTTTCATGACAAGTAGCTGAACAAAGAAATCATACAATGAAACAAAAGAATATACTAAGAGCCTGCAGAGAAATAAGCACAAACACATGTATAATCTCACAAGGAGAACAGGTCAGATGAACGTAACTATACCAGTTTTTAAAGAAAGTTAGTTGCGTATCCTTTACAGGACGTTGCAGGACCAACCCCAGCGGTTTTTGGCAGTAATGGTTTTTCTAGGCAAATTTTATGTTCAGTAGTTTGCAATTACTTTCTGAATGGTCAGATCTCGGTACCACTGTCGAAACCAATGTAAGACAAACCGTCCGCAGCTGGGATCAAACCAGGCACCCCTGCAACGCCTAAGCCACAGATGCTGACCAGGCAAAGGATATATTCATCTTTTTAATGAATATAGACATTTCCGTGTGTGGGTTTAAGGGCTCCATCCTGGAAAACAAAGACTAGATCCAATTCCCCCCCCCCCCCCCCCCATACACACACAAGCACTGAAGCGTTGCAAGGGCCAATTAATTAGGGATGTTTTCTTCAAAGTCGGAGTGCATCTGCCTGAGAGGCAAGGCAATAACAGTCAGCATACAAGTAAGCCAGATTTGTAAAATGGATGTTGTACACACAACCCAAGATCCAGATCAAGACCAAAGTTTAGGAGTGGACAAACAACCAAAACTGTCCACTGGAATTTACAGCTGCAGAACACAAGTAAATAAATCCCAAATAAGGCAGAATTCTGTCAAACTTACTTGGGTTTACCCCAACAGAAAACACCCGCAGATTAATTTTTTTTTAGTCCCCCCCCCCCAAACATTAAATGCCAAATCGTCTAAAACAATTCGGACTAACATTATATCCCAAAACACGCTAACTCTGTCTCCCCGGGAAGCCACGAACCTGGCATTTCCGGCGTTGCCACATTCCCATAAAGGCCAAGAAACAGGTATGTCTGCAGTAACCTGTTCATGAGAAGTGTTTAATATCATTGGTTCTGTTCACGTCTGCACTGTGATCAGAAAGCCCAGGTATGAATATATTTACTAAACTAGCATTAGGGTGGTTTCCTGTATTCACCAAATGGCTTTTTTAAAGCCATAGACCCCAAATTTTCTTGTACGCTCCATGATAGAGGTAACTTGATACATTATGTTTTAGGTCCCAGAGTGTGTGTTGAACTGAATGCCTCACGCTGTTCCTGTTTATTAATTACTTCTTTTATGTATTTCCAATTAAAATTTTGGGTTATCCTCAGAATAACGGGCACATATTATGGCTGCCGCAAAACACCCTAACAGGGCCTCAGTATCTCCCACGGTGTTACGCGTGGCGTGGATTGGGGCTAAACTAGATGGCTGGGACTCACAAGCAGCAGCTTCCGCATCTCCTGCAGCTTTGCTTGTGAGTCCTAGCCATTTAGTTTAGCCCCAATCCACGCCGCGCTGAATACAGAATGTTTAAATGCTATTACAGCTTTATTGGGTGTGATACTTTTTTTTTTACAAAGTCATTGATCTGCCGCTCTGTGTAGAAAGAGATAAACAAAGATAGTGTGCAGTGTCGTGACTAATTTGGACTCATGCTAAGTTCATATTCCAAACAGTGATTATATACCAAGCAGAAGTTTTGGCTATCCTCCGAATATTGGGCACATATTATGGCGGCCACAAGAACACTCTAACAGGGCCTCAGTCACATGAAAATTGTGGACTTCCTGTTTTTGGCCGCCATAATATGTGCCCATTATTTGGAAGGATAGGCAAATTTTGAAACGTAGATACATACATTTTTTCAAAATTTATTAAAGACATGAAAAATGTGTATTTGTATGTTTTAGAGGTTGATGAACCATAATTTCAGCAATCTGGGGGTGCAAATGGTTAAGGCAAGTAAAGGGGTCCTTCAGCCTTTTAACAATGAGGTTATGATATTTTAAATTTAAAAAACAAAAAAGACAACAAAACAACAACAACATATTTTGCAGCTACTTACATGCTCTTCTCTCCCTAATGCAGAAGCCACAAGACATACATCTTTATTCACGGGAGCTTTCCTGCTGTCCATTGAACAATTAACCTCTCTCTTTTCATTCTGAGACCTACCCAGTCTGCTCTTTTGAGAAAGTATAACAGGACTCAGACTGAGTTTATCCTCTGAAGGGTCATTTATGTCCATAACTTCATCATTATTTGCATCGGTGCAGACAATGTTCAAGTGGGTAACATCATGTAACACTCTATCTGAAGACTGCTTCTTGAGCACACATTCTTGATTCAGCTCCAGTGGCTTATTTTCTAAAATACAATTTGATTTCCTGGAAACTAGAGAAACATTACTGGTCTGACTGTGAGATGGTGCCGTGCTGACAGCAAACTCTAAAGACTTCTTGGTGCGAACAGTGCCTCCTGGAGACTGAAACTGCTTGATAAACTGATCTGTTTGTCTGTTTGGTTTAGAGTGAGCGGGTCGCTTGGGCACTGGTTTAATGCTTGACTGACGTGGTGGGGGTGGTGATGGAGACAGAGGGCTGACAAAAAGGTCATCGCTGTCCTCATCTTCTGTGGGAGTTTCTCTAACATAGGCTACATCTGTTGCGGCTCTCTCTGAAAGGAAATAACAAATTGCACATGTATTAGCTTGAAGTGTTACAGTAGCAATCATAGGTTTATCTGTAGTCTTCCCTGTGGGTTTGGGGTCCCACTTTGTGAGAAAAACAGAACAGAAACAATATGCCACAAACAATCATGTCATAAAAAGTGACTAATTAGGGGCATTTCCTTTCAAGACAGAGTGCATCTGCCTGACAGGCAAGGAACCAACAGATTGCATACAAATAAACCAGATCTGTAAACTGGATGTGCATGCAAAACTTAAGTTCTGGAACAGAACCACAGTCCAGAAGTGTATGAATAACCGAAACTTTCCACTTTTTTCTTTCTGGGTAGGTCTTTATAATAAAACTGCCACAGGATCAAGGAGGGAAACTGCCACAGGATCAGGGAGGGAAACTGCCACAGGATCAAGGAGGGAAACTGCCACAGGATCAGGGAGGGAAACTGCCACAGGATCAAGGAGGGAAACTGCCACAGGATCAGGGAGGGAAACTGCCACAGGATCAGGGAGGGAAACTGCCACAGGATCAGGGAGGAAAACTGCCACAGGATCAAGGAGGAAAACTGCCACAGAATCAAGGACGGAAACTGCCACAGGATCAGGGAGGGAAACTGCTACAGGATCAGGGAGGGAAACTGCCACAGGATCAGGGAGGGAAACTGTCACATGATCAAGGAGGGAAACTGCCACAGGACCAGGGAGGGAAACTGCATAATGTTTGTTCTGAATTGTAGAGAAGAGGACTCCAAGTCATGCTAATCATTTCAAATATATAAAAAAAAATTTTTTTAAGTATACATTGCTGAACTTGTTTTACCTTCTGCAGCAGCTGGTGTGAGCCTTAAGTCTTCACCCTCCTGGGCCAACTTGGCTTCAAACTCGGCAATTTGTTGGTGCAGCTTGGCAACATCCTCCTCCAGAGCCTCCTGCTGCTGCAAGACAACAGAACATATGATCTCAAAATGTGTATGCACAAAAACATGATTTCACAGCTACATAGCTCTAAACTGTGTTAAAGGGCACATGTATGTTGATGTTTAGAATAAATGTTAAATAACATTCTGGTGCGTGTGTTGAGTTGAATTTTAGAACCAATGTCAACCTTTTCATACAGTGAATTTTCTAAAAATGAGTCCCAAACCCATGGGAACTCATTGAGGGAAACATCATTTAAAATTTAACAAAAATCTATTATTTATCTATATTTGTTAACCTCATTAAATAAATATATAAAAGAGATGATCAATAAACCTTGCTCAGTGCTATGTTAAGTCAATATATTTATATATGGCGTACTAAACATTGCACAAGCACATACACGCCTAATGGAATTTAACTATGCTTTTTGAGAACAGGTAAAAATGCAAATACATCCGCATTTACGGAACTGTGTCAGGACTAGAAGTAACCAGATTTAGTCTTCTCAGGGCAACAGGATTAATGGATATAACTGACGTGTGGGTGTGTTTTTAGAACATAATAGTCAAAACGTTCAGCTGTACCTGCACATATCGTTTCTCTTCCTTTCACTGAGTTTTCTAGTCAGAGTCTGTCTGTGTTTATTTACTGTATCAGTCAAATTTCAGTCGCACCTATTTTCAAAACATCAGTATTATCTAACTTGAATGCCAGTTATTAAACAAAATGAAACAAATTATGGAAAGGAAATGTATTCTTGCTTACTTCAGTGTTTAAGATCTCACTCTGTGACGAAAGTGCACTAGAAGATGTGCAATTCACTGAGCTACGAGCTGGAATAGCTGAAATAAACGAAATAAACATTTTTTTTTAAAAATATGAAACTACTGTTACATAAATAAATTTTGAAAAAGAATTTTCATGGATTCATTAAGTTACAACATGCGGCACTATAATTTGCAGTTCTTAAACATGAACAATTGTCAACAATGATACAAGACATTGAGCTTCAGAGATGTGACACAATGGTTGATATATGTGTAGGGAGGGAAGGGTGGTCGGCTTCACAGGGAAAAACAAGGTAATATAAATGAAAAGACTAAAAGTGACTGAAATGTAGAAGTGAAGAAGTTTAGCTACACTTAGCACACCGGTTATCCTGGCCAATGACATGTTAGTCAACAAAGAGACATCAAGAAGGCATATTCTTTGGCTGGTGAATAGAAGACTGGCCAAGAACGTTTCTTTCTTACATCAAAGAGTGCACAAAAGGTGTCTTAGTGGAAGGTGTGACCAATGGTGTTTCTCTATATCTTCAGACTTCCAACAGCATGCATCAGTTCTTTGTGCCATGATAACAAGCTATCACAGACCTTTTCCTGATTTTCTTCCTCTGTTTCTCTTTGCATACATTTTTGTTTACAAGTTGCCTCATGTTCAGAAGTTTCTTTTCTCATTTGGCAAAGATTATGGCTGCGTCTTTTTAATCTTTGTGATATGCCAAATAAATGTTTCAATTAAAAGTGATTTAGTTTTTTTTTTAAACACCTTACATCTTCTTATTGTTTTTCTAGCAATGTCAAAATTCTAGCAACATCTACACAAGAGTTCACACCTCAGGGATGCATTGTGCTGTATTTGGTAGCATCGTGGGAATCCAAACATACAATTCATAATAACAACGTGATGATCTAATCTCCACCAGACGTCTGCATGTTTTGCCTCGGTATTCAGCACAATTATTACAGCAGTGAGACACCACCATGGACAATATTTTTATAAAATTATATTTGAAAGGAAAATTTTCTTTAGACTAGAGATGCAAACCTTCTTGGTTGGAATCCTCACTGTCACTGCTGATCTGAATGCGCTTCACTCGAGATTTTGGTCGGGTGTACACGCTGTCTTCATCATCAGTATCCGTTTCATCAACAGCAGAGATCATTGACTGGAAATAGTTAAATATGATATGAGGAATGATGACTTGCTTCATAAGGTAAAACCGATTCATCATTAATTTTCTATTAAACCACTACATTGGGTTACAACATGATAACCATGTGAGAACAAAAGAAGTTTGTCTATTTAAAACAAAAATGTGCATCAGTCTTATCTGTCTTTGTATCAGGGCCTGTGTTTTGCGTGTGCATTAGTTTTACAGGCTTATTTGTGTGAGGTTAGTTGCTCCTTACTGCTCTGGCAGATTAACTCTCACACGGAACCCCCACAGAGAGCAGGAGTTGACTAACTGCAGACATCCTTTATTGGAATGCATGCCCAAGAGGCAAGGAACCAAGAGTCTGCATAAAAATAATCAAGATCTGTTAAACGGATGTGCATGCAACACCCAGGTTCTGGATCAAGACTAAAGTTCAGAGGTGGCCGAACCAGAATTTTTTGCTGGAGTTTACAGCTGGTGAACACGAAGAAGAATACATAACCTTTGAAATGACCAAGAAACGCAAGGTGAGTTACTTGTACTGAAAGAGTTAAGAGTTGAAAACTCAGAAATACTTTACAACGAACAATAATGTTGTTAGTTCAACAAATTCATACCTGATCCACTTGTCCATGTTCAAGACTATTCCCAGCATCCAGCGGAGAGCTTGTGACAGGCAGAGAACCAGGCAGGTTTATCGTATCATCCAGTCGATCAACAAATTCACCTTTCTGACTCTTCTTGTCATCTGATTCTGCATTCACCCGTCTGTTTTTATCATCATCTTCACTGCTGTCACCCAAGTCAAAAAACAGCTCATCATCATCTTTATGAGCCACACTCCCAACATATGTATGCGCAGCCTTCTCAGCCTTTCCTAAAGCCTGTTTGATATGACCTGCTGGTATCTCCTGGATCTTATCTTTCTCTTTCCTGCTGCTTATCTTTTCTGAATCTAAGCCAAACAGTTCTTTCTCGAGCTGTTTCTTTGCATCATGATATTCCCTCTCAACTGATTTGACTTGGGATGTCTTCCCCTTAGTTTCAACAGGTAGTTCTTTCTCAAGCTGTTTCTTTGCATCAAGATATTCCCTCTTAACTGATTTGACTTGGGATGTTTTCCCCCTTGTTTTAACAGTTAGATTCTCAACCCTCTGTTGTCTTCTAGTAGCATTCCCAGAGTCCATTATTTCTAAATCCCTGCCCTGTTTCTGAGAGCCAAGGGGCAGATCATCTGACAGTGTTGTCTGGTACCCAAGCCCATCAGTGCCGCCGCTTTCTTCAACATCCACACAAATAACTTCAATGTCACTCTCACTTACCATTTTCTGGTTTGTAGGTTTCTGTATTCCACTGCTAACAATTGCTCTAGATGCAGGTGATAACATGCCTCGAGGATGTTTCACAATGGTATCCACATTAAGATGTCCCTTTTTAGCTAATCCTCGTTTTGTTTGCTTCCCTTTTTCCAGTTCATCAGACACACTGGAGGAATCTGCATGATTTTCCAACAGAGAAACATCAAGTCTTGTGTCTATCAACACATTCTCTATGTCATCATGGCCACTCTTATGTGAGGTATCATCATGATCATTGTGAGACATAATGATAGTTTCTGGCACAGATTTATCAACATCCTCAGACAATCTGTTTGGTTTGTTGTGTTCATTCACATTTTCACAGAGTTTAAAAACAGTCATATTGCTTCCGAGTTCACTGGAATTATTATCAAGTTGCCTTTCTGTCTCATGTCTGGTCAAACGTGCTTCTGAAGGTGAAAAAAGCCGCTTGTGAGATTTTCGTTTGGAAACAGGGGCAGAGTCTTCAGCACTATCTGAACCCAAGTCATGCTTTTCTGCAGAAATGTCAGACTGCAGCCTCCCTGTTGGTAATTTCAGAAGTTCAGGAGACATGTTATTAATGGCTTGCACTGTGCTGCTTCTATCTTCCTCTGGCACCCTTAACTCAGAAAGATCTATGGCTCCTTGTGATTCAGAAATGTAACAGTCGTCATTCTCCTCCACATCTTGCTCTGCCCATGTGTCAATAGCTCTCATAGCCTCGGTTTCCCCAATCAGATCCACT